TAATAATAATAAAAATTTAATTATTCAAACTATTTCGCCGTAAATAATAAAAATTCTTATTAGTTATTCAAAAAAAACTCTTTAAATTTAAAAAATTAAATTATGAAAAATTGAAGAAATAAAATAAAATCTTATAAGATCAAGTATTGAAACTGATTTAGAATATTAGTCTGGAATTTTTGTAAAATTTTTTTTAATAATTGAATTGAAACAAAAATTTATTTATTTCTTCTAATATTAAAAAATTTTAATAAATAACAATTATTTCAATATATTTTAATTTTAATAATAAATTTATAAATTATAATGAGGATCGTTAAAAACAGTCATATGAAAAATTCAATTGGAATTAATTATGAGAAAGAAGTGCCAAAATAAATAAATTAAAATCAAAGAAAAACCAAAATTATTTTTCATATTCGCTATTGTGATATGAGAAATAAATAATAAATAATATTTTATAATGAAATGATAATAAAAATAATAAAAAAATATTATTTGCACGTGTGTAAAATTCAAAAATATTAAAGAATGAAAACAAAAACCAAAAACCAAAAAAAAAATTAAAGAATTTATGAAAAAAAAAAATAGAGCCGGAAAAATAATAAAGAAAAAGGATAAAACGATAAAAGATGCGTTTGCATATGTGTACACACAAATTTACTCATACCTACACACACACACATACAGCCATTACACATTCATTTCATAATAATTTTAATATTTTAATTTTGTTTTTTGTTTTCTTATCATTTTATTTTTCACCAGACATGAATGAGTACATTGAAATTAAAAATTCGAAAAAAAGAACAAAGAAAACCAGACGAGGAAATGTAAATTTTTTTTTTTATCTTGGTTTAATTTTTTTTTTTTTTTTTATAAAAAATAAATTAAAGGCACAAAAAAAAACTGTAATAATATTCGGAAAAAAAAATAAGGATCTGTTATTTTATATGAGCTTTAAAATATGTATACATTAACCGTTACGTATGTGCCGAAATTATTTATAACCAAATATAAATTACATATATAATGTATGTATATAGGTACCGTTATATTGTGATCTTATTATATGAAAAACTGCCTGTGGGAAATCGTGTGTGTTTTTCATGTTTAAAATGATTTCAGTTTTATTTATTTTACATGAAAAACAAAAATAAAAACAAAAAAACATGTAAAAATTAAGTAAAAATAAAAAAGAAAAGAAAGAGAAGATAAGAAAGAAACAAAAAAAAAAAATATGCATGAAAATGTAGATTTGATTTTTCTTTTTTGTTACTCAAAATATAAAAGTGAGAAAAGAAAAGAAAAATATTATAAAAAAAGGACACAGAAATAAAATGGAATTTATGAAGATTCCAGTTGAATTAAAAAGAAGAAAGGGTTTACTTTTTTTGGATTCTGTTTTTTTTTTGTATTTTTATTCTTAATCCGAAACCGTTTATAAGAACAGCAACTTTATTACATAAAATATTTTTATTGTGTAAAACCCAACTCTTCATTTTCGGCAAATACAAATCGCATTGAAAAATGAATTATTCCAACATGTTTTTTTTTTTATTTTTCATTTTAAAAATTAATTTTTAATATTTTATTTTATAAGGTTCTGAAAATATTCACTTATATAAATATTTTTATTATGTGAATATGTGAAAAATTAAATAATAATTCTGATTAATTTTGTGTGACTAATGATTGTAAAATTTTGATATTTTCGAAGGGAGATGTTAAATGTAAGAATTAAGAAGCTAAAAAATCTATTCCGGAAATTGTGAATCGAATATTTTTAAATATTTCTTGAGAAAGTTTTTTTTTTAGCCCAAGGTTTCAATAAAGAAATTCAATTATTTTTTAATAAACTCGTTATTTGATTATTTAATTTAACAATTGATTTTTGGAAAAATAAATAAGGTTCCATATATTGTAGGGTATACTTGCTTTTCAGTAATAATAAAAATATTTAATATATAATGTTAGGGAGCCTGAAAATATTCTCTATAACTAGAGTTTAATACAAATTTTTAAAATCTAAAAAGATCGACTATAAGCAAAATAATAAGATATGCAAGTAAAAAAAAAAATTAAATTTTAAATTTTAATAATAAAATCAATTTGTTTTCCAATATTCAAAGCACATCCCATTTTTTTCAGGAGATTATGTGATTTTCGTTCATAGTATTCAATCTGCAATTATGCAGATTCGCCTACAAAATTCCAGAATCAAGAAAGTATTTTAAAAAATATTACCTGCTGATAATTCAAAGTAAAGGATTATATTTGAGAATTATAGAAAGCGTTCGATAAACATTTAGTTAAAGAACTTGTAATACAATATTTGAGCAATTTTTGTTGGATGAAGATGAAAGAAAAACTCGAAATTATTATTGAATTAAACTTTCTAAATAATCATTGATTTAGAAATTATTTGGAACTAGAGCTGCTTTATAAAATGAATTTTTTTGTTCAATATTAAAATTATATAAAATTTTAATACTAATATATTTATTTCCAAAATTTATGATAACAACATAAATTTTGGAACAACATTAATTTTCTATTTTTTTCATAAATTCATTGAAATAAATTTTTAAATTTAGTTAGTTCTCAAAGCTCTGATCATATTTCCAATGTCTAACCATTTAGAATAGTATACATGAATTTTTATTACTGTCGACTAGTTTGTAAAAGTGAATATTATGTTATCTTAGAAATATGGAAAAAATTCTAATAGCTATTAAAAAAATAATTTAATTGTGAGAAGATCAATTTGCTATTTCGAAATATTTCTAAATTAAGGCAATTCACACTGTAATATTTTAATAAATAAAAATCCTGTAGGGTTAATTTAAAGGATTTATTGTATTATTAAAATCAAAATTCAATCCGTTTCCAAAACATACTCAATTGAATTCATAATTGTTCAATTTTTATTATATACGAAGTTTCTATATTTTTCCAAATTCTTATTTTAAATCGCACCTAAAGTTGGAAAACAGTAAAAATTCAACATGTTTCCCGGTAATAATTGTTCAATTGATATGTAAAATTGATACAAAAAGGACATTGACTTAATTTCAATTGCTAGGGAGAGAAAATTTTTCATTTACTTGCACTCGTAAATAGTATTTTTATTATTTTCTGTTCTTTCTTGAATTTTATCTTCTATATATATTGAATCCCAAAATCATTTTGAATTCTTGAATTAATTTTCATCATATTCTCCAAAAATTATAAGATCCTTAAATGATTGAAAAAAGTATTTGTGAAAATTTTTAACTTGTGTATTGTAAGATAATAAAATTTTATCTCCCCTATTTTCATGCAATGAATTTTTTATTTTAATTGTTTCACAAGCAGGATTAATTTTTTTCATTTTGTTTTTTGTTTTCTTTTTTTGTTTTGGTAGGTGATTGGATGAAAGTAAATATTTCTTATCCTTCGGCTATAAAACACATTAAAAATATTCTGTTTTTCACTTGATTTAACATCATTGTAAATGAATTTGGAACTTTTCAGTTTCTTTGAGAAAAATCACTCAAATTTCTTTTTGTTTTTTCAACCCCTGCATTTAGAATAATGTTCAGAGCATACATTTGAAAATTTTAAATTTAAAATTTATTTTAGTAGAGTGCATTCACTTGTGTTATATAGATATATGAGTTACATGGCACGTAATTCATAATGCTGTAATAAAAATGATAATATCGACAATATTGGGAAATAAATTATAAAAAAAATCCACTACTTTAATTGAAAAACTTTATTTTATTGAAAGCAGAGCAAAAATATTTCTAATTAATAAAAATATTTATGAAAATATGAGGGAAAAAGTAAAATAACAACCAGCAGTTTAGGCGTTTAATTGCAAGTTCTATTCAGTTCATTTCAGGTGATACAATAAGCAAACTAAAATAAATTTGATTTTAAAATTTGGAATTACATAGAATTTTTTTTATTTTTGTAAAATAATCGACATAATTCGATAAATGAAAAATTGTAATTATTATTTGCGGACAATTGTTTTAAAATTCAAAAGCAGATACAAATATTATGAATTCGCTATCCGTCCTGGTAATTAAAAATTTGTTCAAAAAAAATTAAAGAGAAAAATTCAAACGTGAAATTGGAAAGTACAAATGACAGCACCAAATTTGGGATATTCGACCAATCTTTAAAAAGGAATAATTTAATCGTAATCATTAATTTTATTTTAAATATTAAGATTTAAAAATATAGAAGTCCAATATTTTCTAATTTACTTTATATATTATTTTGTGGTCAATTAAAATGTAAGACGCCTATATAAATGCAGTATAGTTTTCTAGTGCCGAACAATTTTAGCGCTAGTGTCCTCTTTATTTTGAATTACAATATTTTTTGTATATAGGGAAAAGGATCTTTGTTTTTGTAGAAAGAGAACCTGCTTTTTTCAAAGTTAAAAAATAGTAGTTTTATTTACAGGGTAATAAAATTACACATGTATGTTTGTAAAACAAGAAAACGTTTCATGAAATATTGATGAAATTTCAGAAAATGTGAACATTCTGAAATTAAAAAATAGGGATTTTATGTTTAAGATAAAGCAATAATTATAGAAAATGCAGTTTGTTGCAAAACGTTAGAGTCATATTCTCCATTATATCATCTATAATCATCAGATAACCCGATCATATTCTTGAAAATGACTAAATAAAATAAGACTGTTGTGTTTAAAAACTTTTTCCTCATTTTCATTTGTATTTTTTTTTTTTAGAAAATTTTCAACATTATACGGCCAAGTTGTTAATGTCTATTAAATGCAATCCTTTTTATTAAAATAAAAATTAAAAACTTTACTACTACCTACATTTCTACAAAATATTTTAAAATAAAAACTTTTTTTTTTACTAAAATATTCAACAAAACTTTTTAATATCGAAAAATTTTTCATATAAGCATAAAGCAGAAAAAAAAATTATTTTGAAAATATTAAAAAGATTTAAAATTAGAAACTTCGAGAAGTAAAATAAAAAAATAAATAAATAAAAAATAAATGAAAAATAAGAAGTGAACTTGAAAATTGTTTTTTTTTTTTATTAATTTTGAAATAAATTTCATAAAAATTGAAAACACATATTGAAAAATATTGAAGAGGACATTGGAGAGGAAATTGAAAATTGCAGAGGTCGCAAACATAAAAACCCATTAAATTCAAGAAGGCATTTAGTGTAAGTAATTTTTGTTATTAATTTTGAAAATACCATTGTAACTTTTGTTTAATTTCAAATTTTGATGGATCATTGGATAATTAAAAAATAGTTTTTATATTGAATATGAAAAATATATGTATGCACATGCATGTGTGTTTATGTATGTATATTTGTTAAAAATTTTGATTAACTTTTTGCGATTGGAGATAACTATACGGCGAATTAAAATTTTTAATGAAAAAGTATGATGTGGTCTGCACAATCTCAAGCTCAAGATTCTGAAATTGCCTTTTCAAAACTTCTTTCAAATTTTAAGGACGCTAGCAAGTTTTTAATTAAAATGTCTGGAAAAGTGCAAATTCGTATTCGGCTTAACCTTTCTTATTTGAATTCCCTGAAAAGTTAGATCCAGTATATAACATGGAACTGAAATATTAAATTTTAAAAAATTCTTTCAATTAGGTCCTCAGATATGATAGCTAATGAATAAAAAATCGACTCCTAGTTCAGTTTCCGAGCCCCGATATATCCAAAAGATATTCGTTGCAATAAAAACCGGAATTTAAATTTAGAATTTCAAAGAAACTGGTTGATTATTTCGCGTTGTATACACAAACATTTAAAATCGATCCGTAAAAAGGGCCAGTTTTCGAGCCGTGATATGTTCCAAAAGTTCATCATACCGTGATATAACCAAACATCATATAAATTTTCACGAAAGTTGATTTAGCCGAACTTGAGATACATGAGTGCACACACGTACATATCTATAGACCAGTGGACCGACAAACCAACATCTTGCTAAAAATAGTTTGTTTACACTTCACTACCATGGAGAAGTGCGTTTCCACCAAAAGCTCGATCAGTAAAAAGAACTGTTAATTTTGAGTTCATTTTTGGCTTGGCCAAAATAAGACTAAAGTGGTTGTGTGTCACCACAACTTTAATAATTTTTTCCAAAGCACACATCCGTAAAAAAATCTTTGTTGACCTTAAATTTGCCACGTTTTTGTAATTAAGTTTTCCTTAATTACAAAAATAACAAAATTTTAAATATTATAGTTTTTCCTAATACTTAGACCTACTGTTGAAATATTAATTACTAAATGAAATTAATTTTGTTTATTTTTATTTTTATATTTGCACATACAAATACCTATGGGAATATCACATACATACATTTATTAATAATACAAACAAAAATTAATATCCTTAACAAAGTCTCTCGTAATGTTTATACACATAAATATTTTATATACAACCATTGAATGCTAATTGAATCAAACACATATTAATTACCTTCCTCTTGATAATTAATGTTTTTCATGTATTGATAAAAGTTGTTATGTAATATAGTATGATACTAATGAAATGATTAAAGCATCATGTAAGCACGATCCGAAAATATTTTTGTAAACTCATCTGAATGTAATTAAGTTTCTTTTCCTTTGAAAAAATTTTAAAAGTAAATGTGATCAAGTTTTCATTGTAAGTGAAACTACAATGAAAGCTTCTTTAAAATAGAGAGACTAACCTTAATGATAAAGAAAATATTTTTAGAGAATATTTTATTGTTCCTAAACAAGCACATTTAATGCTGACATTATTCTGCTTCCAAATGATAACAATTTAAAGTTTACAAAAAAACTACATGTGTTTGACAGAGAGGTAAATTAGTACTCGAATATGTATTCTATAGGGGGTACATTTAATTTTTCACGATATATGTAACACAACGAAGAAAACATTTGCGAAAAGGTCCTTGTAGGAGCTATGAAAAACAAGCAAAAAGGAAATTTGGTCGTGCGGCATATTTTTTGTTCGGAAATTTTTTTCAACATCAGTTCTCCAAGGTAGTTCTGAGTAGGCTCTTTTATAGATTACTCCTTTTATAATAGCCTAATACGTTCACCAAGTCCAAAAACTTCAAAGTTAAGATAATAAGATAGGCGAATATTCAATTTTAACAAAGACCAGAAAACAACCAAATAAACTTTACTAGTTTTACTCTAAATTGGACACATTAAGTTTTCAAAATAAATACACATATTTCGGCAGTACAGACAAAAAATAATGTTTCTGGCGGAGATATGCTAAATACCTTTCGGATTTCACATAAATACCTTGAGCTAAATCTTATGTCTTACTGTATCTAGCTTAATATTGAGGATGAGTTGATCTGTTTAGTTTCTTACACACCATCCTGCATTAGGCCAACAAGAAGACCCATCGCCAATTACCAAAACTTCCGGGAGAAATAAGATTCCCCAAATCAATTACCCAGATCAATCAACCCTCATAGCTCAAGAGATGCGCCAAGAGAACAGAGAAACGTTGCTATACTTTACCGACGGCTTCGTTTTCTTTTTATATCTAAACGCTTTCGTCCTTCAGGTATATTAACTGAAAGGTTGCCTTGTTTTCACAAAGATCAAAATAATTTTCTATTTAAATACATGTTCGTAAATTTGCGTAGCTAAACTTAGAACAAATTCAATTTTCTAATATTAATGACAAAACATATAGTACGGTCGTTTTTGGATTGAACTTAGCAGACTTTTAGAAAAAGGAGATTCTAGTTGAAAAGTAGTCAAGATAATGAAAATTAATATTTAATGATATGAAAAGTCGTAATCGTAATGTTTCTTGAAAATTCAATTTGATTACAACAATTTTTTGTGCAAATTAAATTTTATATATTCTTTGATTGTTCAGTGTAGTTTTATGAACCTTTGAGGTACCTATAGGCATTTGATATAAAATCTTTTTGGATATTTTTTCTTTTATTTTCAAATTCTATTTCGCTTCTAAATTATTTAAAATAAATATTTAATAAAGGAATCATTACACATATGAAGAAAAAAGGTTCTTTATTTTTTCTCAAGTAAATGTAAGGTAGCATGACATTTTTGTTAAATAGCAACCAAAATGTTAAGAATTTGTGTAGCCAATGCTTGTTTTTATATTTGCATTTATTTGTTGTGTTTAATGTACTATTGAATTCCTCATATAATATAATTATGTAATCAGAATAAAACCCCCTTACAGAGATAGTGAATCATTGCCACTCATTTTCATCTTAAGTTTTTTTTTCATATTTTATTAAGAATTTTATTTTGCTATAAGAAAATTGATATTGTGAGGAACCGAGAATCCAAGAAACCAAGAAGCTTTGAGTCCTAATTTATTAGAAAACTACGAATTTCAATAGAAAATAAAAGCTTTCGAAATTATTTCGTTGAACCAATAAGCTAAGGCTATTCCCGACAAAATCTTCTTTCTATCAAAGTGTAATGAACTGAAATTGCTTATAAACAAAGGATCCAATAGATATTTTAATGGCAAATCGGCGAAAAAATGTTTTCTTACCTAACTTTTCAGCAACTATACAAGATTCAGTGATAATTTGTTGTTTTTAGCCCTTTCCAAAAAAAAGTAGTATCTGCTGGGTTTCACATAAATAACAAAATTTAAATATTCTGAAAACATAAATTAGGACTCCGTAAAACACACTGGCAGCCGGCTGAAATGCATGCTGTAACGTACTTTTCACAAATTAATTATTCTTTGTTAATTAAGTACTACTTATTCATTAGATTAGGAGGGGATTTTTGGGTATGCTTTTTAATTATACTAAGTGAATTTAGATGTAATTTTTTTTTCAAAGATTTTTAATCAAAACTTTAGAACTATTTTCACTTTAGTGCTTTGTAAAATTATTTATTTCTTAAAAAAAAACTTTTAAACTACAAATCAAAGAAGATTTCATTAATTATTTGTTTTTTAATTTTGACCAACGTTAATGTACTTTTCACTGTAGTCACTGAATATTTCAAGTGAAAGCTTAACATTTATTCACTTTTTAAAATTGTTTTAATAGTTATTTTGTTGTTGCTCCTAGTATACTTGAAAGTATTTCGAACTTCATGTAAAAAACAATATTGTTAACTTTTCCTCAATTTCTTTATTTAGTGTTATTACTGTTTTGTATACATGTGTGTCTGTGTACTGTAAGTGAATTAAAATATTTAAAAAGTTGTTTAAAAATGTAAATGTGAATCCTTTTAGAGGATAAAAGGACTATCCATTTTTTACACTGTTTATTATATAAAAGAGAGAGAAACTTTTAACTTGAAAGTAAAATAAGAAAGTTGAGTACCTTTTTCTCGGGCAGTTCAATATTTTATGAATTGAGTAAGTTTAAAAGTGCACACTTTTTTTATAATTTTTCTTTTTCATATTTCCAAAAAGGATAATTGATATTTTATCGCTACTTTGTTGCCACAAACTTTTTTAGGACAGGATTAAAATCATAAATTTACTTTTATATTGTTGTTAATATTCTACTTAAAAATTGGAATGCCTGTGAGTTTAATTAATTTCAGTTTTAAGCATTTTCTTGCCAAAATCTGACACATTTTTTAATTGTATTAAAACGGGGTTTTTTAGTCCTACTCATTGGCGTTTTCAACAGAACGGCATGCAATCTTGTCAGGTGTTTTGACTGCAGTAGTACTCAGGAATCGTATTACCCCGAGAATCATTGTTCTCAACATTTCTTTTTGGTGCAAAAAAAAAGTTATTAAGTTGTGCCGCTATTCTCTGTTACTTACTATTAATTTTCTATTAAAATTTTTTAATTAAATTTAAATAGAAAATTAATAGTCATTTAAATAAAAATGTGAAAATATTTTAAAGTAATTTTGAAGTAGAACTGTTGGGACAGTATCAAGGCGAGCTGTTCACATTCATTTAATATTGGAATAAATCACGGGACGGATATAGTAAAAATTGGAAAATATAGAGGTGATCATGTCAAATTAACTAGATACAATACTAGGTATAAGACTAAGTTGTACTGTAATTGCACAAAGTGTTAATACAGCTACCAAAACGAGTTATTGAATTCTTATCAGTCATTTTGTACCGATAATTTTATGTTTAAAGTGATAGCCCTTTCTAAAATTTCTGATAGTTTGAATAGTTTCTGTATTAAATTTGAACTCCAAATTGAGGTA